TTCAACTAGAATGAAAATAGAATTGAACTAAAATATTTAAAAAAAATTGTTTTAGGCGACGGAATATATTTTTGAAACTTATTAAGAAGGTTTCACTACTGTTGCCAAACTTTTTATAGATTTTAAGTGAAACATACTAACGTCGATAGTCGCAATAGTAGGTATAATTGCAAAATCTGCAATAGTTAAATGTGAACCTGCTGTGTATTTGTTTTCTTCCAAGAAATGGTCGAGATGCATTAAAACTTCGTCCATTGCTTTTGCATTTTCTTCCGATGGTGCTATTCCGCTATAGAGAGTAGGAGCCTAAGACAAACAAACAAAATATTAGCTGCAATCCCACATAGCAAAATGATGTTCCCAGAATATACCTGGAACATTCATGTGATGTACATGCATATTCCTGGGACATACATGAGTTCCATTATGAACATTCCATGTGTGTCCTAGGAATCTGTCAGAGTTAATACACTGAATGTTCATGGTATGTTCTGGGAATGTACATGGTATGTTCAGTGAATGTACATGTGTATGTTCTGACAATGTACCTGGTATGTTCAGTGAATATACATGTGTATTTTCTGGGAATGTACATGGTATGTTCAGTGAATGTACATGTGTAGGTTCAGTGAATGTATATGGTATGATCAGAAAATATACCATATGTGTAACGTGTACCAATGTAACGAAAGAAAAACAACACTTTATTTCATCTTATTAGTTTATTCACATATTTAAGTATTTACTGATGTAATTTTTCAACAACAAAAGTTACTTACAACTAATTTAAAACTAATTAAATGGATAATAAATAAACTAAAATACAACTTATAACTACGGACTAAAAATCGAATTTAACATTTTCTGCATTTTTGCCGTTGTCGCAATGATATGTAACTGTGAGATAAAACACAAACTTTTATCTAAAAAACTGCACTTATTATTTTATATTCGTTACTTGTTCCCGCTCTGTGGCTTTTGCCCTTTCATTTTGTTCTCGAT